GCTTACCCGGGCCTATTCGCTACGCTGAATCCAAAAATCACACAGGAGAGCGCGAAAAGGCGAAAAAGGGTTCTAACGCAGGACGGAAATCAGCAGGTGTGCGTAATCTTCCCCACTGTGCATTCACGCTCCAAGCTTCCGAAGCGATCTTCTCGGTTCCGATCTCAAATCACGCGCTCGCAATTGGCCGGTGGCGATGTCAGGGCGACTAGCGGAATCGAGAAGATCATCCCGGAAGCTGAGAGCGTAAATTCACGGTGGGGAAGACCCCTCCCCCTTCTGTTTCCCTCTTGCGTTGGAGCCATTTCTCGCCGTTTTCGCTCTATGCAGTGTGTGTTTTCGGCTTCAGTACAGCAAATATGCCCGGTTAAGCACAAAATCTCGAATCGATATTTGCCCGGACACTGCCTTCGAATACAGCGTTGCATCGCCCAAACAAAAATTTCAACAAGTTACTCATTATTTGTTCACTATGTAACTCGAACGAATCCTTAAAAATGAGTAAAAAAAAAGGAAGACAAATCACCTTGCTCATTGCTGCATGACCTGTGGATTACTGTAATATTGAGCGTAGTAATTGTAGTATTGTTGCTGTGCCTGAGCCGCGGCAGCAGCCGCAGCTCCACCAGGTCCTCCAGTGGCAGGAGCAGGTGGTCCGTAGCTGCTACCAGTAGCTTGTCCACCATATCCATAAGCACCTTGTCCATAGTTACTGTAGCCCTGATTGCGTTTATCAGACTAAAATACACAATTAATACTTAGAAGTGACCGACAACTAAAGGTACACTCACATCGCTGGTCTTTCCCCATGAACACCGAATGGTATTTCCTCCAAGGTCACCACCATTCATTCTGAGAATTGCGCGACAAGCGCAGTCTTTCGAGTCAAATTTCACAAAGGCATATCCTTGAACTTTGAAAATACGAACTTCGAGTATCCTGCCGAACTGCCCAAAAGCTTCACGAATGTCTTCCTCTAAAAATATCGATCACTGAAATCAACGGCAAGAAAATTTACTCAATGAAAAGTTCTTGTTAGCAGCTCCTGGTAGGAAAGCTGAGGTATGAGATGACAGATAGTATGAAATATGAGATACTTACCACAAACACCTCCTGCGACATTTCCCACGTAAACCGATGTATTGTCAGGTGTCGTCATGTTAAAAATGTCCTCATAGGTTTTCTCATTCGAAGCTGGCTGATCACCGCCTCCCTGTCCAGGCTTACGAGTAGCCCAGTTTGTACGAATTGTGCGGCGACCAAACCATTGTCCATTCATTTGCTCGATGGCACGTTCTGCTTCCTGAAGTTCAAAAAAACTAGAAATTCTAAAAAACCCCCCTTGACAAGTAACTGTGGAAAATTACTAACCTCTCGCTTTGGATATGAAACAAAACCGTATCCCTTGGACTTGAGCGTAGTCACATCACGAATGACCTTGGCATCACTAAAATACCGATTTAGCAATAAATGGCACGTGAACGTTCTAGATATAACTTAGAAACGACAGCTCACCTTACATCTCCAAATGAAGCAAATGCTTCTTTGAGAGCTTTGTTATCGACTGTTATCGTCGAAAATATGTCCGTTACACCACGACGACACATGTTC